AATTTTCCTCCAATTTCCTTTTCTCTCATCTCTTCTTTCTTCTCTACTCTTCTTTTCTCTCCTATCATCTCTTCTCTTCTTTCTTCTCTCTTCTCTCCACTTCTTTTCCCTCCTATTTCCATTTGTCACCTTTCATATTTTTTATCATATCATATTTTTTCTTCTTCCTTCTCTTCTCTTTTCTTTTCTCTTCTCTTTTATTTTCTGTCATCTCTTCTTTTCTCTTCACTCTTTGCTCATATCCTCTTCTTTTTCCTCTTCTTTTCTCTCCTCTCTTCTTTTTACTGCACTCTTCTTTTCTCTCCTCCCTGCTTTTTTCCACTCTTCTTTTCTGTCCTTTTCTAATCTTTCTCCACTCTTTTTTAACCTCGTTTCTTCTTTTCTCTTTTCTCTTCTCCTCTTCTTTCTCCTTTTTTTCTTTATTATTATATCATCTCTCTTCTTTTCTGTCATCTCTTCTTTTTTCTCCACTCGTTGCTCCTCTCCTCTTCTCTTTCCTCTTCTTTTATATCTTTTCTTTTCTCACTCCATTCCTCTTTTCTCTCCTCTCTTCTTTTCATTGCACTCTTCTTTCCTCTCCTCCCTGCTTTGCTCCACTCTTCTTTTCCATACTCTCCTATTTTCTCTCCACTCTTCTTTTCTTTTGCTTCTTCTTCTCTCTTCTTTTCTTTCCTCTATTATTTTATCGTATCTCTTCTCTTCTGTCATCCATTCTATTCACTCCACTCTTGGCTTCTCTCCTCTGAGAGAGTGTGTAACCCGGCAGACTGTCGAATGGGCGGACAGAAACTGGCCAAGCAGAGGCATGGAAGTGAAGTTTGGTACCAAATGTGGTATGAATTGAAGTGCCTTTTGACCCTTTAACTCGAGTGGCAAAAAGAAATAATAATGGGACTTTTCCGACGGGTTGCGGCCAGAAAGGAGGCACTTGCCTCTCAACCTCCTCACTCTGCCTACCAGACAATGTGTCGAGAGATAAAGAGGCCTTCCACAATCTGGGCAACGGTGCGAGTTTGTCCTCGAACCGTCGTCGGACCACAGACAAAGTGCGTTTGTTTTCTTCCTTTGCTTTCACCGTCATTTCGCCCATTGCCGGTCTAAAATGTGTCATTACGTCACACACACAAACACACACACTCACAGCAAAACGATGTATTTATAAAAAGGCATACAAAATTTCGGTTGAAATGAAGCTTAATTTTAGGTTTTGGCATAAGCTGTACAAATGATTACTTACTATTTCTGATAGAAAATGGAACGATTACAACTGGAGCACTTTAAACTGCACAGCAATGCCCAATTAAGACACATGCTATTTTGTATTAAATAAGATAATTTCAGTATTGACCACGTCATCGGTGCATTTTGCCTATTTCGTATAAATTAATGAAGGTGCGATAGTCGAATTTCTCTCACGATGCCAGTGCATTTCGTTTAGTCGAAATGAGAATGCATTTTGGGAGACAAGTCATCGTGGGAAAAATACAACTTTAGACGACATCGGGTCGTTCCTGTGCAAAATCTACCGATAGCATCGAAAGTTCTTGTCGGAATTGGGAAGTGGAAAGGGGACAGAAAAAATACTGACCGACTAAATACGCTGCACACTGCTCTACTCACGCAGCCACGAGTAGTCGGTTTGCGATCGCTTCGGTTCTTAAAAAAGGCAATTCACGACTCAGTCAGCAAGTCTGTCCAAATGATGCAAAGCCGGAGATTGAGCCAAATAAGGCAGCAGCCGTCAAGCAAGAAATTTTGCGTCTAATCACAACAAATTATGAGCTCCTTCTATTTCCTGACATTTTACTGACTTTAGGGAAATATTTGCGAAGAAAAGTTGGGTTTCGAGGAATCTCTTCTTTCATAATTGTTGAGCTGACTTCCATTTCGACTGGAAGTGTGCGGTGAAGAGATTCGAAGCTCGGTTCCACCAGAAGACGAC